ACCCCCTATAGATGCTGCTGCTGCTGCTGCTGGTGGCGCTGAGCGCGGGGCCGGGCCGGGCGGCCGTCCACGTCAACCTCACCGAAGGTACGTGTCGCACACGCGTGTGTGCGCGTGGGGGGGGGGGGAGGGGGGGGGGGCTACTTACAGGCTGCGAGCCATGGCTGTCATCTTCCCGGCGGGTCTGCCTTTCCCTGGGGTTTCCATCGCTTTCTCTTGGCAGCCTCTGGAAGGAGAGGGCAGAAGGGCTCTGTGAAAACACCCCAAAACATGGATTCACCTCCTAAAACCACCTCCTGAACCCCCCCCGCTTAACCCTGGGGGGGCAGAAAGCCCGATATTGGGAAGGCAAGTCCTGTGGGGCCACCTGGGCTGGCCAAGAAGTGTCCTCTCCATGGGCAAAGGGCTGTCCCTCATGGACAGAGTGGCTCTGCCAGGTCTGCTGTCCCCGTGCCACCACTGTCACCCTACACAGCAGCCAGGGGGGAGGTATGGAGATATATATATATGCCACAGGCACACACACCCCCATCCCTTCCACCAAAGTTGGGTTTCACAGCCTCCAGGGTGGCCAAGATGGTCCCCAATACCAAACACCTTACCCTTGGGCTAGGAGGGCTTCCCTGTGGGCAAGTGGCTGTCCTCTAGGGTGGCCAGAGGACCACCGAGCCCACTGGCGTGTTGGGTTTGAGCAATGCTTCCCTCTTGAGAGCTCTGGAGCAAAGCAGGGCAGCAGGGATCTCCCCTCCTTCTCCCGTCACCGGATCAAGGTTGCCAGATCACACCAGGCTGGAGCAGAGTCCAACCCAGGGCTCAGCTCCTGGCCAAGTCAGCAGAAGCCTGGCTTCTACCAGGGAGTGGGTTTTGGGGACCCACCACGGTGCTGGGTCCTCCCCTGGATCCACCCAGGAAGAGAAATTAGAGTCATCCCTCCATTTCACTGCTCTGAACCCCCCCCGAATCCTGCAGCTTTTCTTCCCAGGTGATCATGGAATGGTTGAGGTGGGAAGGGACCTTAAAGACCACCTTGTTCCACCTCCTGCGATGGGCAGGGACACCTCCCACCAGACCAGGTTGCTCCAAGCCCCCTCCAACCTAGCCTTGTGATGCTACAAGGGGTCTCCTTGCTCAAGGCATCTCCACGTGGGTCCCCCAGTCCCCCCAGTAGGACTGGGAGAGCTCAGCCTTCCCTGACTGGCCAACCAGGGAGACAGCAGCCCAGAAAAAATGGGATTTATGGGCTTAATATCCATTTGGAACCAGCAGGAAGGAGTCTCCAACCACCACTTTGCAAAAAATGGCAAAATCCAAGCTTTTGGGGGCAAAGGGACCCTGTGCCACTTGAGGTGGCATGAAAGGATGTGCTGGTGGGGAGAGGACTGGGAAGGAGAGTCCAGAAAACAGCTGATACCAGGGGGAAAAGTTGAAAATAAGCAAAAAAGAGTATTTCTGCATCTTCCATCCCCTGTTCCTGCCACAGGGTCTGTCTCGGAGCCCCCAGGACATCGGGGGGAGCTTTGGAAATTCACTGCAGGAGCATCTGGAGCCCGTCTCCCAGCCCTGAAATCCAGCCACCTGATCTGTGGTGGGTGATAACTCATCCTGCCATCGACACCGCCGCAGAATTTCGGGGATTCATCACTCGGTTTATAAATATTTAAACCCAGAAGGAGCCGTGTGCTCCCGTAACACGCAACGCATCTTTACGAGCAAAGCCTCCCTGCCTCCATCCCCCGGGGAGAGCTGATGAACATCTGGCCCTCTCCAGCCTCATCTTTGGCAGCTATTTTAAAAAAATCACCCAGGTCAGGGCAAAAATTCAAGCTCTGGGTCCAGGTGGGCAGAATTTCTGCCCCCCCTCCAGCTGGGATAGAGTCGTTTTACCCCCCTGATTGATGCAGAAAGAGCTGCTGAAGAAATTCCAGCCAAGGCTGCTCCACCAGTGGCTTCTCACCACTAATCCCAGTTAAATTTTGGGCACATACGGCTGGTCCTATGTTTATTTTTTTGGGGGAGGGGGGCTGCAGCTGCAGCCTGAAGGCTTTACAGGCTCCCCCCACCACCACCGGCTGCTTCATGCAGTATTCACAGCTTCATACAGTATTAAGAGCTGCTGACGCCTCGTGAAAAAACTGTGAAAAGCTTCTATTTTGGGGAAAGTTCCTCTTGGTGGAACGGTGCATCCTGTGGCTTCTCTCTTTCCCTCTCCTCCTGCTGGGGGAGGGCAGGGCAAAATAAAAAAATAGGCTGGTGGCGTCGCCAACCAGCCCTGGGGTCTTCATCAGAGGAGGAAAATAACCTCCCCAAGCAAACAACCCCGAGGAATTAATTTCCACATGGCACCCCAGGAGCTGCTATGGGTGCGGGGTGGGTGCCCGCCTCTTTGCCGCATTTTGGGGAGGGATGCTCAGCCAGGAGAAGGGGAAGGTGGGGACCTGTTGGGTCTTATCCCCAGGTCTGGCGATGGAGGAGGTCAGGGAGGTGGGGGGGAGCTGTGTGGGGGCCTGCATATCTCCACATTAAATTAAAAAAAAACCAAACAAACCAAAAAAATTAATTAAAAAATCAAAAAGCAAGGAGTTTGTTTCTAAGCAACTGTCTCCGGGAGGGAGGGGGAGCAGAAGAAGCGATGCTGGGTAGGGAGAAAACTTCTGGGGGTCATCATCCATCACCCCCCAACACCACAGAGCCCTGTGGCGAGTGGTGGCCCCCGTGCCTCGTGCCCTTTTCTGGTGAAACGGCACCTCAGCCCCCAAAAACCACTTCCTACCCTAACGGCTCCCGGGCAAACGATGCTGGGAGGTGGGGAGGCTGCTGGGGAGGTGACAGCAGCCTTTGGGTGGCTTCCTGGACTTCCCGGCTACTTGCCAAGGAGCCATCACCACCCCTTATGGGAGAGTCACCGGTGGGTTGCCGTGGGACAGCAGGGTGGCATCCATCCCAGGCTGGACAACTCTTCGCCCCCACAACTCGGTGTCTTTTTGGCACGAGGCTCTGCCCAAGAGCTCCCCTTTTTCCCCCTGTGCTGGCCATGGGCTACTTGTTAAACCCTGATGGCCACCAAAGACACCAGCCCCATTCCCAACAGCTCAAAGGGGTAAAAAGGGAAGGAAGAACCCAGAGCATCGCCCGCTCCGGGGGTTCTGCATCACCCCACAGCCCAAAAGGTTGGCAACACCCTATGGTGGCACTTAAAGCCACTCTGTGGGACTAAACCATGCAACCCCCCCACCCATTTCCAAACCCTCCTCCACCTTCCCACCCCATTGCATCCCCCCCGCCATGGGGGAAAAGCCCCCTCAGCCTCCCCCATATCCCATCGCCGCTACCGGGGTTGGCCCTGGAAAAGTTTTGGGGAAAAAAATACAGGGATAAATTTGCTCTGGGGGAAAAAATAAAGGGATAAAGTTGCTCTGGGGAAAAAAATAAAGGGATAAATCTGCTCTGGGGGAAAAAATAAAGGGATAAATCTGCTCTGGGGCAGGCGTGGGGATTACCTGCGTGCGCCGTCCCTGCACCGTCCCGCGTTTCTCCCCTCCGGTCCAGCAGTTTCCTTCTCTTTCCCAAGGTGTTAACTGGCCTGGGCAGGTAGGACCCATTTTTATAGGTTGGCCCATGTGATCCCAACAAATGCCCTAGGGATGAGTTTTTGCCCTGACACAAGTAAAGGGGCTGGGACTAAAAAACCTGTCGAACCACAATCCGTGCTCAGACGGACAGGAATTTTCCACTCGGAGCCTGGGTGCGCCGCCGGCGGCAGGACACACGCTGGGGTAGGGGGGGGACACACTGCTCCCCAAAATCCCACCTCCCCCCTGCACTTCCCAAGTTTTTCAGGCTCATTCCTAAATGCTTCTTGTGGTGCAGCTGGAGAAAATGGACCTGGATGGGTGGGAAGGGTGAAGGAATATGTCCGAGCCCTTGGTTACATCTCAATTCTGCAAATCATTTGCTGTTTTTTCCTGTGGTCCGTGGACTAAAACACGGTGGAAGATGCCCCCCAGGGTGAAAAATGGTGGGGGGGAATCCTTTGCCCCCTCCCCCCCCACAAAAGCAAATACTCCCTGCAGCCTCAGGGCATTTCTGCACAGGTTGGAGGGGATTTTTGGGAGCCACGAGCTGCGGGTTCCCCCCCTGCCACATGTTCCTTGCAGCTCATGGGGGATGCTGATGGTGGGGTGCTGGTGAGGAGGAAGGTGGGTACCAGGGAAGGGGGGGGACACACAGGGACAGGACAAGGGGTAACGGTTTTAAATTGGAAGAAGGGAGATTTAGATTAGATACCAGAAAGAAATTCTTTGCTGTGAGGATGGTGAGACCCGGGCCCAGGTTGCCCCATCCCTGGAGGTGTTCGAGGGCAGGTTGGAGGGGGCTTGGAGCAAGCTGGGCTGGTGGGAGGTGTCCCTGCCCAGGGCAGGGGGGTGGAACTTGATGATTTTTAAGGTCCCTTCCAACTCTAACCATTCTATTATGATTCTAAGTGACCAGGATGGGAATGGAAAGGGGAGGGAGAGCTTGGGATGAGCAGTGGTGAGTCAATGGGAACCAAGGGACCAGCAAAATGGCCACGGGCCACGGAAAGGAGAGGGTGGTTGGGAGGGGTGAGTCAGTGGGACCAGCTGGTGAGTCAATGGGAAAGGAGGGAGCTGATGGGCTGATGGGCTGCAGGTGTCTGCTGGGCTTAAAAAGAGCCAGGAGAGTCCTTTTTTCCCCCCCTCCCCCTGAACCATTTCTGCTCGGGCTCATTTCTTGGAGGGACTGGAGCACCTCTGGAGAATGCTGGCTGCAGGTACTGATTTCCCCGATAACAGGCAGGAACGTGCTGCTCAGCACATGCAGGGCATTTATTTTATTTTTTATTTTTTTTTGCTGGTGTAGGTCTTGCCTCACCTTTTAATTGAGATGCTGTTGTGCCCCGGGCACCTCTGCTGCCGTGCCTGGCTGGCACCTGGGGCTTGCTCACACACGTGGCAGGTTTTCACCAGAGACAGGGCCGTTTGCTCTGAGCTGAGCTAAGCTAGGAAGGGAAATAAGGGGAATTTTTATGCCTCATTTTGTGGCAGGTAATACTAATAAGGCTCCTGTTTTGCTGGGTCACAGCACGAGGAAAATGTTCCCTGCCCAGAGCGGTTTTTGCAGCTTCTTGCTCTTCTGCACCCTGGAGCATCCTCTGAATGGCCCTGACCTCCACAAACTGGTGGCCTGAGGTCATGTCCAAGCTGTGAGGGTCACCTCGGGGAAAAGGGGGGGGTGCACCAGCTTTTGTCTTTGCAAACTGTCCCCCCCTCAGCCTCTGAGCCAGCTCCAGGGCTCAGCTCTGCCAAGGAGCTGGGACTCTGCCAGACCTGGTTGGGCACAGGAGCTTCTGGGCTGCTGCAGGACTGGGGATACTGGTGGTGGAAAGAGGGGTAGGTGGAAAAGTGTGTGTGTTGGGGGGCATCTGGCTGATTTTCTGCATGTTTGGGGGGGGTCTCAAGCTGTTTTCTCCCCTTGTGTTGCAGCTGGTGGGTTTCTTGGGGTGTAAAGCCCTTCCAGTGTGTGCGGGGAGCAGCAAAGAGGGGTCACCCCTTCAGGGCTGGGGTGTCAAGGGTCTGGGAGGGAATTTTTGGAGGGGAAGAAGCTGGAAAAACCTTCTGGAGAAGGTACCCGTGCTCAGGGGTGCCCCCCCATACATGGGTACCCTCATCTCCTTCCACAACCCAGTTTTGGGGGGGTTGCGTGGAGCTGTGATGGGGCCACCAGGGCTTCCAGGGAAAACCCCGTTGCTGGGGCTCAGCTGGGCTTGTTAAACATCTACCAGCCCCCTGTGGCAGACCAGTTAAACCCATTTAAGGAAGGGTTAAGCCAGTTTAGTGTGATTTGGTAGTCTATTGATGTGAAGGTTAATCTGGTATAAGTGCATCGGCGTTGGGGATTTGGACCAGTTTAACTGGTCTGTCTCCCCAGTGTGTGTCTGGATGACTTCACGAGGGGTCCAGCCTGGGCTTCCCTTCATCCCAGGCTGCAGAGCCTCAGGAAGAGGGAGAAAATAAATCTGGGAAGAGCCACATGCTGGCTGAATCTGCAAATGGTGCTATTTATAGACATCCCAGCTCAGCTGGTCTAAATTCCATGTAGGTCCCAGTGCCTGGCTGGCTTTGGAGAGGGTGGGGGGGGGGACACACGAGGATGGGTGAAGCAGCAGGGTCCTGCCAGCCCAGGGCACCTTTGATGGGGCGACTGGTGGGGCTGGGCTGAGCCCTGACCTGAGTCAGAGCTGAGGATGCTGCTTCCTCATCCCTGGTTCCTCATTAACCCGCTGCCCCAGGGCTTTCCCACGAGCATCACCCGGCCAGGAGATGGTGAGATGTCAAGGACCGGGAATGGGTGTTTGTTTATTTTATTTATTTATTGCTGTCATCCCCAAAGGGCTGTAATCACAATTAAGGGCATCCACGAGGCACTGGTTGGAGACTCATCATCTTGCTGTTGTGCGGTGTGCAGGAGAAGTGTGTGTGTGTGTATGGGGAGGAGGGGAAAAGAAGGGAATGAAGGTGAAAGTGTTTGGGGTAGGTGACCCCTCCATAACCTGGTCCCTGTGCCATTCCCTGCCCACGCAGAGGCCCCGGGTGGTGGGTTGAGCAGAGGCCACACCTGAGGGTTTCTCAATGCTCCTTTTTTAACCTCCCGGCTGCTGGGGCTGTTTGCAGCAATTCTTAAATGGCTTCTCCTGTCTTTGGGGCCAGGGAAGCGTCCTTAAGGACCTGCTCCAACATGTCAAACACCCTGATATAGTGGGGACCTGTTGGAGCAGGGCTGGAGGAGGCCCTGGAGATGCTGGGAGGGATGGAGCCCCTCTGCTGGGAGGGGGAGCTGAGAGAGTTGGGGGGTTCAGCCTGGAGAAGAGAAGGCTCCAGGGAGACCTTGGAGCCCCTTCCAGTCCCTCAAGGGGCTCCAGGAGAGATGGGGGGGGACTCCTGATGAGGGAGGGGAGCCCTAAGAGGAGGAGGAAGGGTTTGACCCTGAAAGAGGGGAGATGGAGCTGAGATGTGGGGAAGAACTTGTTTGGTGTGAGGGTGGTGAGAGCCTGGCCCAGGTTGGCCAGAGAAGCTGTGGCTGCCCCATCCCTTGGGGGTTCAAGGACAAGTTAGAGGGGGCTTGGAGCAAGCTGGGCTGGTGGGAGGTGTCCCTGCCCATGGAAAGGGTTTGGAATGAGATGGTCTTTAAGGTCCCTTCCAACCCAAACCCCTCTGTGAAGGTGCTGCTGTGTCTCCTGCAGCGTGTCTGGGCTCAAGGAGGTGCCAGGGGCTGAGATGTGCTCCTGCTTGTGGTGCTGCTGGAGCTGATGTTTGGGATGGGACCAGGCTGGCAGGAGATGGGGTGATCCCTGGGTGCTGCAGCACAGTGGGGGGGGCTCTGTGGGCTGCTGCCAGGTCTGGGGGACTTCTTACAAGGGCAGGTAGTGACAGGATGAGGGGTGATGGCTTCAACGAAGAGGGGAGATTGAGATATTGGGAAGAACCTCTTTGGTGGGAGGGTGGTGAGAGCCTGGCCCAGGTTGCCCCGAGAAGCTGTGGCTGCCCCATCCCTGGAGGGGTTCAAGGGCAGGTTGGAGGGGGCTTGGAGCAACCTGGGCTGGTGGGAGGTGTCCCTGCCCATGGAAAGGGTTTGGAACGAGATGATCTTTAAGTTCCCTCCCAACCCAAACCATTCTGTGATTTAATGCTGGAGCCAGAAATGCAAAGAGGTGCTGAGCAGCCTCTCGGGGAGTTTGTGGATGGAGGGGGTGCAAACAGGAGCTAATTCCAGCGGGCAGAGCCCTGGGGAGCAGCGGGCTGGGCTGTGTGTGTGCCAGCACCGCTGGGCTGAGGGATCTGCCGAGCTGCTGGTGCTGAAGGGGAAGGAGGCTCCTGCCTTGTGACTGCGAAACGTATGCGCTTAATATAGGCCAAATGAAAACATTCTTCCCAAAATAGAAGACCTTCCCCGGAAAAAGCTGCCGCTCCGGCAGGAGCAGTCACAAGGTGCCTGCTGTGGTGGGGTGGGCTCTGGCAGGGGGGAGATGTTCATCCAGCCTCCCGGCTCCCTGTGACTGGCGCTGAAGGGGAAGGAGGCTCCTGCCTTGTGACTGCGAAACGTATGCGCTTAATATAGGCCAAATGAAAACATTCTTCCCAAAATAGAAGACCTTCCCCGGAAAAAGCTGCCGCTCCGGCAGGAGCAGTCACAAGGTGCCTGCTGTGGTGGGGTGGGCTCTGGCAGGGGGGAGATGTTCATCCAGCCTCCCGGCTCCCTGTGATGCTGGCCACCAAGGTCACCCCCCTCGTCCAGGCTCTGCTGCCAAAGCTGCTGTGCACCCCACAGCTGGCCACTGATCCCCCCCCCAAAATGTGCCAGCTGGTGCCAGATGCTGCTGTGGGAGAGGAGATCATGGATGGGGCAAGGACCCGTGGGGTGTGGAGGTGGGTGGCCCCATCCCTGAGCCATGCAGCACCATGGGTGAAGGTGGGAGATTGAGGTGAGATGTGGGGAAGAACTTCTTTGGTGTGAGGGTGGTGAGACACTGGAACAGGT